GCATGCCATTTATCCGAGCAGATCAGAAAGAGAGGTAAGGGGAGGAGGAGAGGGGAAGGGAGGGAAGAGGGGGCTACTTGGGGTCGGAGAGGTCGAGCACGAACGGATGAAAGGTTGGATCTCTGAGCAGCTTTGCAAGCTTTGACGCATGTGCCTGCAACCCCTGTAAAGCTTCGGGTTGTGACACGATTTGGCGGACGTCTACAGCGAATGGATCACACACAAAGGAGAAGAGTAGAGACATGAAGTTTACTTGATAACACGAACACACTATCGATTCGTGGCACACACAGCAAGGGAAGGGCAGACCACCTGAGCAGTTGTCAAGTTATAGTCGAGGGGAACCACCAGGGGTGGTCACGTCAGGCTCCTCACGCACGAGCGAGCATCCCGCGTGCGTCCGCTTAGGTCTGCTGCCTGCTCCTCCTTCAGGTTCATCCAATCGTACCAGTACAGGAGATACCACCCGTACTTGGCACTCTCTGTCGCCCAACAGGGGTTGTACTCTACAGGTCTGGTAGCCGTTAGAGCCCTTGCTGCCCTTGTGGCTGTAAGAGAAGACCATAGCTTCTCTTGCTGCCCACTCCAACTCAATAAGACTCCTCCCTGCGGAGGCTTGAGCGTGCCTTTGGGGAGCGCATCAGAGCTCTGATAGATAAGAAGATAGGTTCTTGCACCCGTTCTGGAGAGTGATATAGCTGTTATAGGTACGTATGCTGCAAGTAATAAACCTTGCTTCCTGGGCCTGCTACGAGCTGTTGTGCAATGCTCAGGCTAGTCAGTTCTAAGTGCTCTTGCATTCCGAGTTAGCACCTCCGCGGCAATCTTGAGAAAAAACTTGGATGACATGCGCAAGCTTCTTTGGTTGATGTGTCAAGGACTCGTGCCGGGACCTGATCCTCGAAGCAATTTTGATTTATTGTTTCGATCAGCTTCAAATGTAATTGCACCGAAGTAGTGCAAGACGCTGGCTGATAGGTGGATGTTGACACCAGCTGTGGGATCAACGCAAGATCCTTCTGTCTTGCTCGTCTTCCATCAAGTCCCGAAGAATCTGTTCGACCTTGTCACAATCTTCGAGGTTGAGGACAAGGGCAGTCGCATGAGGTTTTCCGTTCTCGGTCACATAGATTACGCCGGAAGGTCTATTGAATGGATCACAGCACTGCATCTTCTGCCAAGCCGCGAGATTCCAGTCAGAGACCATGAGAGACCATCATGGGGCAAGTCTCACCTTCTTGACGTCAATGTGCGAAATGCTTGAAGTGTCAATGTTGATAGTCGTTGTTTCTAGACAGAGACCGCAGAAGTTCGGGGAGAATGCCTCTATCCTCACGTTAGCCATCGTAATCTTGATCTGCTGGTATGTAGTCGGGATCAGGAAGAAACATTGCCGCCAACCCTGCCCTTCCCAGGCAACAGCATTTCGCTCCTTTCTTTTCTGTGCTTTCAGGTCCTGCGAGCTTACCATGACAGGAACGTCAGCCATGGCTACTGGCGTCGCTCTGTCCATGTTCGCCGCGCAGAGTTCACCGGGAATGCCGTGATGACAAAACGATTGACTGCTATATATGTAAAATTAGGGGAGATGTATATAAAGAGTCGGTACAAATCTGAATATAAATCTGGTACAAATAGCTCAACATAGTACAACACCGTTACCGGGTACCTCGTGCCGATATAAGGGGGGGTTAGAACTCCACTGTGAGGTAGGAAATGTCTGTGAGTTACGCCCCACATACTACCCCCACCCCCCTCTTCCCAGCACGAGGTTTCATTGGAGTTCTACCCCCCTCATCGTGCCGATAAGGGGGGGGTAGGACTCCACGGGTGACTGTGAGGTGGGAACTAAATGTCTGTGAGTCACGTTCTCACATACTACCCCGCCCCCCCCCTCCCCAAGAACGAGGTTTTTCATTGTGTACCGCTTTGTATATAAGCAGTCGGTACAAATGTATGAATCTGGTACAAATCTTGAATAGCTCGACATAGTACAGCCGCTGACCGTTACCGAGAACCTCGTGCAGATGAGGGGGGATAGAACTCCACTACTGTTAGGTGGGAATTGTCTGGTACACAATGAACCCTTGTACTGGGAGGAAAAGGGGGGGGGGGGGGGAGGGGGTAGTATGTGGGGATGAAAATCACAAAAATTTTCTAACTTACAGGGGAGGTTTAACCCCCCCCCCTTTGCACAAGGGAATCCATAAAGGGGTTGTACTATGGTGAGCTATTTTGACCCAATTTTAACCAGATTTGTTCCCACTTTTTTCATACAAAAAGGGTACCCAATGAAACCCCCTGCTGGGAAAAAGGGGGGGGGGGGTAGTATTTGGGGGGGGTAACTCAAAGAAAATTTCCTTACCTCCCCGGGGGGATTTTAACCCCCCCCTTATCGGCACCAAGGTACCCCGGAACGGGGTTTTACTATGTTTGAGGTTTTTTGTCCAAAATTTTTTTTTAGATTTGTACCGACTCTTTATATACATCTCCCCTAATTTTACATATATAGCAGTCAATCGTTTTGTCATCACGGCATTCCCGGTGAACTCTGCGCGGCGAACATGGACAGAGCGACGCCAGTAGCCATGGCTGACGTTCCTGTCATGGTAAGCTCGCAGGACCTGAAAGCACAGAAAAGAAAGGAGCGAAATGCTGTTGCCTGGGAAGGGCAGGGTTGGCGGCAATGTTTCTTCCTGATCCCGACTACATACCAGCAGATCAAGATTACGATGGCTAACGTGAGGATAGAGGCATTCTCCCCGAACTTCTGCGGTCTCTGTCTAGAAACAACGACTATCAACATCGACACATCCAGCATTTCGCATATTGACGTCAAGAAGGTGAGACTTGCCCCATGATGGTCTCTCACGGTCTCTGACTGGAATCTCGCGGCTTGGCAGAAGATGCAGTGCTGTGATCCATTCAATAGACCTTCCGGCGTAATCTATGTGACCGAGAATGGAAAACCTCATGCGACTGCCCTTGTCCTCAACCTCGAAGATTGTGACAAGGTCGAACAGATTCTTCGGGACTTGATGGAAGACGAGCAAGACAGAAGGATCTTGCGTTGATCCCACAGCTGGTGTCAACATCCACCTATCAGCCAGCGTCTTGCACTACTTCGGTGCAATTACATGTGATGCTGATCGAAACAATAAATCGAAAATGCTTCGAGGATCAGGTCCCTGCACGAGTCCTTGACACATCAACCAAAGAAGCTTGCGCATGTCACCTCTATCTTGTCACCCTCTTTGCCTTCGCACCTGTGCTTCCTTCTCCAGCTGCTCCGCTGCTCTCCTCACCTTCCTCAACCTGCTGTGAATTACCTACTTTCTCTCTTCTAGCTTACAGATTTCACGTTTCACTTGCCTCCCAGCACATCGAACACGAGCGGGTGGAGGAGAAGGGGAATAGAGAGACAGAGAGACAGAGAGGCGTGCTGGTTTCTGCATTTCATGTACGACATTCATACTTCAAGAGCAAACCCCCCCAGGCTCTTCCCTCATCGCCTCCTGTTGATCTGCTGGGATGCGATCGTGACAGAGCTCATGCTGTTCATGTTGTCCGTGAGAAGTTGTATCACTTCTGCTGGTGCAAGCTCCCTCCCCTCCTTGTCGTTCCATGGGATCTCCACAGGGTAGCGGCCACTGGCGTTCCACCTGATGATGAAGGATGAGACTGAGGGGGTGAAAGCAGGCAGAAGCGATGGGGGAAAGGGAGGGAGGAAGGAGGGGAGGGAATGCAAGGAATACAAAGGAGAGAGAGGAGAAAGCAATAAACGATGAAGGCGGAGTAAGACGGAAGAGGTGAGGGCGCGAGGAAGAAGGGGGGGAGGAAGGGATGGAGGGAGGGGGAGGAGCTTACGTATTCAGCTCGTGGAGGGCCCGGATCATGTCCTCTGCTACGGCTGTGCCGTAGTCGTGACGGATCTGAAGGAGACGAGGGTCCCGTCGGTTCGTCTTCTCACGAGGGTTGCTGGGGATACCGTAAGGAGGCAGAAAGCGAGGACAGCGGAGGTGAGGAGGCGGGGAGAGGAATCGAAAACCATGGAGAGCAGGAGAGTTGCAGAAAGGAGTGAGGGTATGGAAACCATGACAAGAGCATGCCATGTTATCGGAGCAGATCAGAAAGAGAGGCAAGGGGAGGAGGAGAGGGGAAGGGAGGGAGGAGGGGGCTACTTGGGGTCGGAGAGGTCCAGCACGAACGGATGAAAGGTTGGATCTCTGAGCAGCTTTGCAAGCTTTGACGCATGTGCCTGCAGGAGATTCAGACGAAGAGCAGAGAACTGGGGGTTGAACCAGACGAGGTTAAGAGGGAGGGAGGACAAGGAGAAGATGAGAAGAGA